TATATATATATCTTGTCTGGAACTCTGATGGCCTAGTGGCAAGAAGCTGTGCTGCAATCCTGAAGGCATGCAGTTTAAATCCACCAGCTCCTCCAGGAGAAAAAGATGGGTGATCACCTCCTGTGCAATTAACTGCCTCAGAAATCCCTAGAGAGTCAGTTATGGGTTGGTTCTGACTTGATACAACAGCATGCGTGATCTGGTGTAAGGAGCTGCATTGCCAACCCAAAGGCATGTGGCTCAATAACCATGAGCTGTTGAGTGGAAAAAAGATGGGGAATCTCCTCCTGTCAATTTACAGCCTCTTAAAACCCACTGGCACGTCAGCTATGAGTCGATTCCAACTCAATGGCAATGAGTTAGGTTTTAGTTTAATACCCAAGGTACAATTGTAGGAAAATAGTTGATAGTTTACAATTGGTATAATACTGTTACTAATCTGTGCTCCTAATTTGAATTTCGCCAATTTTCCCAAAAGTTTTTCTTGGATTTTATAGTTTTGGATGCTTTTATCATTTGCCAGTAATTAAAAAGAAAGAGATCGTGAGCCTTGCCATAATATTCACGCTTCCAAGCTTTCCTTGAACTATCAGAAGAGCTGATAGCAGTAGGCCTCCATCCATGCACAGCAGTGATCAGAGTTGATTAATCTACTGGCTACACCCTTTAGACAGGGAAGATTCTCTCCAATCTTTACCTGCCTGATACTAAACCTGTCAGTTGCCATTTCCCATGGAACTGGTAGCACTGTTTTGCTTATAACAGAATTCAGAGGGAAATGAAAACTCTAAAGAGAAGTAGCAGAAATGAATGGTATGCCAAGAAAACCACGTGGTTTTAAGGTGATAGAAAAATCACATTTTGTGTGTAGATGGGAGAATAGAGACTATTCCTACATGTTAAAATATAAAACCAAAAATGTGTATTTGTCTAATAAGAAATACCCACAGTTTGCTTATTTCTGTCACCTTCCTGGTCTCTATATGCATTTGAGTTTGTGAACACACACACACACACACACACAAACACACACACACACACACAGGTGTTACCAAGCTCTGATATGGAAATATGACATGTATTTGTGGACATTAAAGCAACAAGTGTACGATAACTATGTAAAAATTGCCATATTCTTCCCAGAGGAACAGGGTTCGAATCCACCAGATGCTCTGCTGGAGAAGGAGGGACAATCTCCTCCTGTACCAATCAGATCTGATTTGATAGTACATACACAAAATAATAAAAAAATAAAATTTAAAAAAATTAAATTGACATATTCTATATACCATTCTGAAACAATTCCACTTTCCCCCTAATAATCATTTAAAATATATACTTCTAAGTCTTATTTAAGAAGACCATTAAACTTGCAGATTAGAACCATTCTGACTCCACCTTAGATGGTCCTTCATCACCTCTTAGCAATTCTGCTCAGGCCTAGCCAGCTCTCTAGTCCACTACTCTGCAACAATTTTGAATCTCCAGAACTTCCCTCCACTGTCTTTTCCACTGTTCCCCATCTCACTTCCAGTCCATTGTTTACCCCTTCAATGTCTCAAAGGAATAGGTATCACTGAACATTAATTTCCTCATATCCATAACTTTGTTGCTTACAACCAATTTGTAGCCCGAGTTAAAGTCACTTGCCCATTTTGGGATTCTAGCGGTAGTCAATAAATGTAATGACAGTGCATGGGGTAAATCAGCAGCCAAAGACTCTTTAAAGGGTTTGGTTTTGTGTTGTTTTTAAGTGAAGATGTTGTGTCTGACCCAATCTATGTTATTTTCAAAAGCTTCAAAGGTATGTGAAAGCTGGACAATGAATAATGAAAACCAAAGAATTACTGATGTCTGCACCAATGGTGTTAAGAATATTGAATACACCTTGGAATAAGAAAATAAATATACCATGGAATACCAGAAGAATGAATAAATCTGTGTTGGAAGAACTACAGTTAACATTTTTTTAGTAGCTATGTTGGTAAAACTTAATCTCACATGTACTGCACATGGAAGCAGAAAGACCTATTAGTCCCTGCAAAAGGACATTATGTTTAGTAGAGTCTCAGTGAGAAAGGAAGACTTTCAATGAGTTGACTCAGTGTCTGCATCAATGGGTTCCTAACTAACAAAAACTGTGAGGAGAGCTCAGGACTGAGTGATGCTTCATTCTGTTGTACATAAATTTAATGTCATTTGGAAATGACTCAATGGCACCTAACAACTTCATCCCTTCTTTTTCTTTCATTCTCTACTGACTCCATGTCTGTCTTGTCTTTTTTAAATTGTTTTATTTTAATTGAGATTTTAATGAAAGTTTCTAGAGAATTTGGATTTCCATTGTTGCACATTTTCCTCCCTACCCTCCCATTCACTTTTCTCTTTGAAAACAAATTTTCATTGTTGCACAATTTCCTCCTCTCTTCATCTTTAAAATGCAAATAAGCAAAATCTTCTATCAATTCCACTGTACATGCCAGCCACTGCACTTCATCATACCTTCCCATCAGAGCCAAGCAGTCACTATGGTTAATGTCTCCAATCCCTCTCTCATTTACTCCTTAAAGCAATGCAACTGGTTTCAGTCAGCGCCACTTGAAACTAGTCTATCTTAATGATTCTTATGATTA